GCATGTAATGTGTCTTGCTTCATGGCTCCTTTCAAGATTTTCTTTTTAACCTGTGGCTTTCAGTAGTTTGACTATTATGTGCCTTGATAGATATTATTATCTTATCCTGATTGGTTTCTGCTGAGCTTTTCATCTGTATATTCGTGTTTCTCATTAAAATTGGGAACTATCCAGCCACTGTTTTTTCTTGAACATTTTCACTTTCTCCTCCTTCTGAGGCTTCTGTGATTTACACAGTTTGATAGCATCCGTGGCTCCCTGAGGCTCTGTTTGTTTTGGTTCAGTCATTTTTCTCTCTCCTCTTCAGATTGGGCAACGTCTGTTGATCTGTCTTCTAGTTCACTGACTTTAAAAACAAATTTTTAAAAAAATTTTTAGATTAAGCCTATTCTATAAATTTTTCATTTCAGTATTGGGCTTTCCAGTTCTCTATTTCCTATTATGATTCTTTTATATAATTTCCATTTCTCTGCTAATAGTTCCTATTTCCTCACTCAAGACAATTGTTTTGGTAATTATTTGAATACTTTTTCCTTTCATTTTTCTGAATACATTTAAGTACTTTCTTTAAAGTCTTTATATGTTCAACATCTCTGCCATTTTGGGTCAATTTCTATTGACTGCTTTTTCCCTTGACTATGGGTCATATATTCCTGCTTCTTAGCATGTCTAGTAATTTGCTGTTTGTGTGCCAGACATGGTAAATGATACATGCTGAATCTCTGGGTTCTGTTATTTTGCTCTGAAGAGGATTTGCCTTCATTCCGGCGTGCAGTTCAGTTACCGACTGTTCACCTTGAAATTGTGCAGGCTTGGCTTTTGGCTTCATTAGGGCAGATCTATGGAACGTTCATTCCCAGGCTTGTTAAGTGGGATGCAACTCAACTTCTAGACTCTGCCTCTCTTGCAGACCTTGTCAGGACTTGGTTTCTAGTTTTGTTCTGATAGATCTAGGGTAGGCCATACTCTAAGGCAGAATCCTATTCCTGAGGTGATGTCATTGTCATTCTGGCAGCTCAGCTGGTCTCAGGCTGTCACACAGTCTTTGTACTCAGGCTCACCGGCCCTCTGACACTGTTGACCTCTCGTACTTGTTCTGTTTAACCCTGCAGCTCTGGTAAGCCCTGTGGAGTCCACTGTGAGCATGTGCAGTCCAGCCCTCACACAAGACTCATGGGGACCCCTCACACCACCTTCCGCTCCCTCCGTTCCTTCGCCTTGCCCCACGGATTTCAGACCTCTGGCTGCTGCACATTCTGACCTCTGCCTCCTCGGCTTAATGTGACCACTATGTTCTGCCTGGACTTCATGCCCAAGGCATTGTCCCCAGGCAGAGAGCTGTGGGGGCATTTGGGAGGCGGATCCCACCAGCTGCCCTTCTCTGCCTGGTGTTTCCTGCCTGTAAACAGTTGCCTTGTGTATTTTGTCCACTTTTTATGGTTGTTTGCAGCAAGAGGACTAGTCTGGTACCAGTTACTCTATTACAGCCATTTTCCCTGTTTTTCTTGCTTTATGGATGATCTATCAGTTTATTTGCTAAGCAGATATTTATAGTTATTTTTGGGGGTGGGGGACACAAGATCTTGCTCTGTCACCCAGGCTGGAGTGTGGTGGTGTGATCATAGCCCGCTGCAGCCTCAAACTCCTGGGCTTGAGCAATCCTTCCACCTCAGCCTCCCAAATGCACTACAAGTGCATACCAGCATGCCTGGCTAATTAAAAAAATTTTTTTGTAGAGACAGGATCTTTATATGTTGCCCAGGCTGGTCTTGAACTCCTGGGCTCAGGCAGTCCTCCTGCCTTGGCCTCCCAAAGTGCTGGGATTAGATAGCTCTTCGTTGGGAACTGTACTCTTTATTATTGTTAAGTATTTCATATAATCTTACCTAATGCTTTGGCCCTGAATGCAAATGTTCCTATTATTCAGATTACCCTGTTCTTCTTGTTTGCATTTTCCCAATATATCTTTTTCAAGAGTTCCTTTGGAATCTCCCTTATACATGGCTCAGATTTGGATTTCACTTTGAAATTCAGTCATGAAACTAAACTCAAATGATCCTCCAATCTCAGCCTCCCAAGTAGCTGGGACTACATGACCACGCCTGGCTAATTTTAATGTTTTTTAAAGACAGGGTCTCACTCTGTTGCCCAGGCTGGAGTGCAGTGGTGTGATCTTTGCTTCCTACAGCCTCAAGCTTCCAGCCTCAAGCAGTCCTCCTGTCTTAGCCTCCCAAGTAGCTGGGATTATAAGCGTGAGCCACCACACCCAGCCTGTTGAGTCTATTTATATCTTTTTTTAACTTTATTTATTTATTTATTTATTTATTTATTTTTTGAGACAGAGTCTAGCTCTGTTGCCAGGCACCAGGCTGGAGTGCAGTGGTGCGATCTCGGCTCACTGCAACCTCCACCTCCCGGGTTCGACCAATTCTCCTGCCTCAGCCTCCTGAGTAGCTGGGACTACAGGTGCGTGCCACCACGCCCAGCTAATTTTTGTATTTTTTAGTAGAGACGGGGTTTCACCATGTTGGCCAGGATGGTCTCAATCTCTTGACCTCGTGGTCCACCCGCCTTGACCTCCCAAAGTGCTGGGATTACAGGCATGAGCCACCGTGCCCGGCCTCTTCTTTTTACTTTAAACAGATATACAAGGGAAATACTAGGAAGCAAGGGTACCTGCAGTGAGGTGGGAGAGGAGAAGGAAATGATGCTATTTTTGTCTTTACTTACCGTGGGGCGTGGTCAGATAATCTCTCAGGGATGAGGCTGTTATATCTTTGGCCCCAAAGGACAAAAGCTGAGCGAAATCGGTGAACTTAACCACCAACCCATCTCCCTCAGTGCCCCCCCATATTTTCATTAGTTATATGACCGGTTCCATAGCCGTAATCCCCGTATTGTTTTAGAGCTAATCCTACAGGTAAGTGGATCCAGCCAGACCATTTGCTGTAGTCCTCCAGTTCTCTTACGAGACTGGAGTTAATCTTCCAGTCCTTCAAGAACAGCTTATGGCTGCAGGATTCTCTGAGTTCTTACATGTTCAGAAATGTTGGCCTGTTGCTTCTATAGTTGAGTGACAGTTTGGCTGGATATAAAATGCTTGGACCTTGCTTTCCTCCTCGGCCTTTGTGGGCGTCACTGGATCGTTCCTTGGTGCCATGTGGCTGTGGAGCATTCTGAGGACGGCCTAAACGGTGCCCTCGTCATCAACATGGTCTTTTTGTCTGGCCACCAAAAGGAGTTTTTTAGCTATGAAGTCCAATAATTTTACCAGAGCATATCTTTTTTTTCTTTTGAGACAGGGTCTTACCCTGTCACCCAGGCAGGAGTGCAGTGGTGGTGATCGCAGCTCACTGCAGCCTCCATCTCCTGGGTTCAGGTGATCCTCCCACCTCAACCTCCCAACCTACTGTAATCCCAAGTCGCTGGGATTACAGACACATGCCACCACCCCCAGCTAATTTAAAAAAAAAAAAAAAGTATTGTAGAGATGGAGGCCTTGCTGTTTTAGTCAGGCTAGTCTCAAACTCCTGGACTCAAGCAATCCTCCCGCCCCAGCCTCCCAAAGTGCTGGGATTGCAGGCACGAGCCACCGTGCCCATCCCATTCTGCTCACTCTCCATTATTCCTGCCCTTTGTGTCCCTCACTCTCCTGTTGGAGTCGTTCTGCTGCTGATTCTCCTTCATTGCTTTTAGTTTTTCTTCCACCTCTCCCCTGAGCTCTGCCAGGTCGGGTTTCCTCCTCTGCGTTCTGCTGCTTTGGGTTCTTGCTTTACAGAGGGGATGTAGGGCCAGAGCTTCATTCATTGCTTTCTTTTGTTAATTTCTGACAGCACTGCTTGCTGACAGTTTCCATTGGCTTCTGCCGAGTGCTGCCATTACTTTTCCTGTTTCTTCTTCCTTTTTCCTTGTGCTATCTTTGCAAAGATGTGTGATTCTCAGCTGAGGCAGCGTGGCCCCATCAGGAGGTCCTTAGAGAAAAGGGTGCTGATGGAAAGCTCGCAGTGCATGCGGCTGGTGTAGAAGGAAATGGCCCTTGTTTCTTGTCATCATGGTGGCAAAGTCCCTCTATCAGTCAGCGTTTGGGCACAGAGGTACCAAGCGCCCTGCAGCACAGGGGACAGCCTTGTGGAACCAAGAAGTGGCATGGCCACAGAGGCAGCGCTAATCCCCCACCCCCCAGCTCCCTGCTTGCCATGGGAGAAGGATGTCAGGGAGGGGTCAGGGCAGGAGGCTTCCTGCTCACCCAGCGCCGAGTGTGGGATGCTCGGCCCAGGAAGAGGCCAGCACCCTGATGGCCCTGTGCACATAGGACCTGCCTGTGTGGCTCCAGGTCTTGTGCAGTGCCCCACCCCCTCTCAGAACCCGGCCAGGGATGTTGCCCCCACCAGGCAAGGTACACTGTGTGGCTCCTGCCGCCTCCAGCGTGTCTCCCCCTCGTCCCCCTCATCCTGCCAGCCCCCCATTGGGTCTTGCTCTTGGCAGCACTTCCAGCCCTGCCGAGGCTGGGGGTTCACATACCTCGTGGCTTTGCTGAAGATGGAGTTTGTGCTTCTCATCCTCATCGGCTTTGGGGTGGTGATGAGGCTCTTCTGGGAGAAGTGCCAGTGTCTGCTGCTGTCAAGCCTGAAACGTGGCCTCTCACTAGGCGCTAAGGTGCAGTGTCTTCCCGGGGGTGAGGGGCCCCAGGACCCAGCCCCTCTGCAGTTTCTCCTGCAGCTGGGACCTCCCTGTCTCTCTGCTGCTCTCTGACTGGGGAGGAGTTGGTCAGAGCAGGTGTGGGAGCAGCAGGGCAGGGCCACAGACCACTGTGAGGGGAGGGCTGGAGTCCCCATCGTAGCCTGAGGAAGAGGGGAGGTCAGCTGGGCAGGAGCGTGTGGCCCTCACGCCCGGGGCCTGTGGACCTACGTCTCTCCTGGTTCCAGCTGCAGGTGGGCCGCCAGGGGCAGCGCTGCCACATAGGCCTAAGGAGCAGACTAACGCCCTCCCCACTCCCACAGGTGTGTGGAACTCACCAACTCACCAATCCTGGGATTGCCGAGGTGACGATCCGGCCGGACCGCAAGATCCTGGCCACTGCGGGCTGGGACCACCGTATCCGTGTGTTCCAGTGGAGGAAAATGCAGCCGCTGGCCGTGCTGGCCTTCCACAGTGCCGCCGTGCAGTGTGTGGCCTTCGCCGCCAATGGCTTGCTGGCCGCGGGCTCCAAGGATCAGCGCATCAGCCTCTGGTCACTCTACCCACATGCATGACTCACCTGCTCCCTTTCCAGGAGACACAGAGGGTGGGCTGTGAGGCGGGCATCAGGCCCCAGCCTCGACCTGAAACCTCAAGGGCCTCTGAGGACCAGCAAGTCATGGCCCAAGGACCATGGAGTCCCCACTGTCTTCATGGAGTTGGCATTTTTTTGTGTGGAGTGCGTCATTACAGGACGGTGACTCTGGGGGGCCAGCTAGTGCCCTGGGCATCTGAGGTCTGCAGGAGACGTTGGCTTGGGCCTGCTGTGTTGACAGCTGAGGGTATTTTATAATAAATTTCCATTGCCAAGTTGTTGGCTCAAGGCAGGAACTCCCTGAGGAGGCCCTGGTCCCCCACTTAGCATCAGTGCCCTCAGCCCCCACCAGGCAGGACGCTCAGCCCCACCCTCACCCGTGCTGTTGAATGTCGGGAGATGACAGACCCCAACCACAGCTGCCCGTCCACATGACCCCTCACCCCAAGGAGGCCAGGAGCTCCCAACACACAGGTTGAGGCCAGGATCAGGAAGTAACTGAACTCCCCAGAGAGTGAAGCAGAGAAAGGTGCCCGTGAGGGACAGCGAGGGGGGCTCGCAGCGCGCAGGGCCAGGCCAGGCATGGAATCCGGGAGGGCACGCCTGCCCAGAGAGGGTGCGGTGGGGAAGGCGGGCAGGGTGCGCCTCCAGGTGAGTGCTGGGCAGAAGGCACAAGGGCCAAGGCCACAGTCACAGCTGCGGCTGCACACAGGGCGCCCCGCAGGGCACAACACACAAGAACGGGCCTTAGCAGCCAGAGCCCCGCACTGCACTTGGCTGGGCCCGGCCTCGAAGGCGTGTCCTCCTAAAAGCGGGTGTTGATTGGGAAAGAGCCGAGACCCTGAATGTTGGAGTGGGGCCCACGGGCAGATCCAAAGAAGCCGGGACCACAAACGCCTGTGTCCGCCCTCATTGCTGGAAGAGATGCTCTACCTGAAGGCCTGGGGCAGCCTCCCTTGAGGCAGTTGCCCTGCAAGGCCCTGCCCATGCTCCTTGGGACCCCCTACCCAGGCTCCTAGTCTTACAGCTAGACTCGAGTCCAGTAAGCCCCCGCGGTGAGGTACAGAGGGTGACCCTGAGAGGGGCACCAGCCTCCTGCAGGACCACGTGGCGTTTCCAGGTTTCCAGGCAGAAATCTGGAGAACATGTGTGGGATGGATCGGAAGGGTGTGGGATCCAGGTGGTCGGAGCGTGGGTGGATCAGGGCAGTTCCTGAAACAGACCCGCCAAACAGAGGGCTGGGTTGGGCGCTGCAGCTTGGGGCCGGGAAGGTGCTGAGTTGGGGGTGGGGGGCTGGATTACAGCCTGAGGGTGCTGCACTGAGTGAAGTGGATGTGGCCAGCCGCTGTGGGGTTCCAAGGCCTGGGGATGGGGGTGTCGGTTTTGTCACTGAGACCTGCCCACTCCCACTGTGAGGAACATGGTTGCTAGGGGGCCTGGTGTCTTCAAGGAGTCCTGTGACCACTCTTCTCTTCAATCAGAGGTACCATGGGGAGCGCTCCACCAAACAGGAACGTCAGTGCTGGCCAGGAAAGTGGCCCCAGGCCCAAGCTTGGAGACTGCCCAGCTCAGGCACTGGCCTGGCCCCATTGGACAAGGGTGACCACCAGGTGCCCAGGACCTTTGGTGGGGGCCTGCTGCTTCTCGAGTGTCCTGTAGCCAGCCACCAGGATGCGTGGGGCACTCCCTGAGGTGTCAGGGAGGGGAAGGGTCCTGGGTGCAGGCTGCAGTGGCTGCAGGTGCTGAGGGAGCCGTGCCCTGGGCGCTCTTCACAGGCTGTCACAGCGAGGGAAGATGTCAGGGCAGGCAGAGTGGGAGTTGGCCTTGCCAAAGGCCCCTACTGGGCGCATCTGCCCCGCTTCAGCTCCCTGTTGAGGGTTCTGGACCCCTGCCCCTTCCCCTGTTTATGTCCCTGTCATCTTTGGCATCATCACTACAGTTACAAAATTTCCCGGGTCCCACGGCCACGAGGTGTGCATCCCACATGAGGGACCAGGTGTGTGTGCCAGTGTGAGGTTGGCGAGTGGTGTCGCCTGCTAGCATCTTACCTAGAGGCCATGGACAGGGATGTACGGACCCTGAGTCATCCCCTGGCCCTTGTGCTTTCAGTCAAAGGCACAAGCAGGGCGGGTGGCAAGCAGCAGCCCCTCGCCTGGCTCTGAGCTGCCTGCCCCAGGCCGTGTGGCGTTGAGTAGTGTCCGGCACATCTTGTTCCGAATCTCAGTGTGCAGGGGTGGAGTTAGGGGACAGCGTGAGTCCTGCATGCCTGACACAGCCCTCACCCTCCAGCGCACAATGGGGCCAGGTGCCCGCATCTGGGTGGGTGGGCAGGCAGGGGCCCCCTGCCAGGCAGGTCCAGCTTCTGAGGCATTATAGATGTCCTGTGGAGGGTGGGGGCCCCAGACTTTTGTTCACATGGCTGAGCTGCCTGGGAGAGCAGCAGAACCAGGGCTGGGGTCCAAGCTGGCCAAGAGCAGTGCGGCCCTCCTGGTCCTGGTCCTCTTAAGGTGCTCTGTGGTGTCCACAGCAGGGCCACGTGGCTCTGGACAGGCCGACCTTTGTGTTAACAGAACCTGGGTTGTGATGAATCAGTATGCATCTGACCAGCCTCAAAACCTCCACACCAGAAGAAGAAACAGCGTCCCAGCTCCAGACATCCAGCTGGGATGTACCTGGATGTTGGTGTTCTCTTCCTAGCAAACAGCCGCTGCTTGGAGGCTGGCAGAACACCACCAGAGCCGGCAGCGAAGGCATCAAGTGGGGAGGAGGGGCAGCCCAGAGGCAGCGCACGAGGGTCCGCATGCGGCTCCTGGGACGAACCTGAGAGGTGACTCCTGGCAGCATGGCTGGTCGCTGCCGTCACACCCCTGGCCAACCCACCAACTGAGAGAGCAGCAGGCTTTGTCCCTCGGCCCTTTCACATCTTCCTCCACCACACTTGGGTGGCAGTGAGGCCTCTCAAGCCAGAGAGAACTTGTGTTTGGAAAGAACGGTGGACATTTCTTGCCATTTTTAGTGCTGATTCAAGTAGGTGTGTTCTACCATCCTGTGTGTTTTGGGCTCTTTGAGTCAGGGTCTCATTCTGTCCCCCAGGCTAGAGTGCAAATCTCGGCTCACTGCAACCTCTGCCTCCCAGGCTCAAGCGATTCTCCTGCCTCAGCCTCCTAAGTAGCTCAGGACCGCCCAAGTAGGTGCATGCCACCACGCCCAGCTAATTTTTTATTTTATTTTTTTATAGAGAAGGAGTCTCACTTTGTTGCCCAGGCTGGTCTCAAACTCCTGTGCTCACGCGATCCTCCTGCTCTGGCCTCTCAAAGCACTAGAATCACAGGCCTGAGCCACTGCAGCTGGCCCGCTGCCCAGTTCTTACTGGGAGACTTTCCATATGTGTCGCCGTGCCAGCACAACATAGCTGGTCCTCTGCTCAGGGCCCCGCAAGGCTGCGTCAGGGTGGCAGTGGGGCTGGGGTCCTTTTCTGTTCCAATCCAGATTCTTGTGGCTGTGAGCCCCAGACCTGGGCACTGTCTGCAATGGTGGTATCTTCATAGCCAGCAGGGGTGGCCTTGGGGTGTTCTGTGCAGTAACTTCCATGGCCCAGAGTGGGATCCCCAGCCACTGCCTCTGATGCAGGCGGAGTGGCCCCTCTGATTACTAGGAGCTGTCAGAGGGGCAGCAGGTCCCACTCCACTGGCCAGTGAGGAGCGGTGTGCAGGGATGTGGGCTCTTGCACGTCTACCTGGTGAGGCCCTGCCTCCTGCCTCCAGTGCCAGGGGGCCTCCCCTCTTGATGGTGGGCGTCACCCTGTGCTGACCTCTGTGCAGCCCCACTTTACGAGGTAGGTCTGGCCACCACCCCATCCGCAGGCAGGCAGCACTCACCTAGCCTGGTGCCACCAACAGGGTCCCTCTTAGACAAGTGGCCGTGCCCAGAGCCTTTCCCTTCCCCCCCTGCGTGTTACTGACAGGCTAACAGGCGGCCCCGGGTCTGGGACCAGGTGAACCTGGTGAAGCTGCCTCTACCTCTGGCAGTGGGTGGCCCTGCAGGCAGATTGGGCTTGGCACGTAGCACCGAGGGGTCAGCCAATGCCGGGAGATGGTCCCAGGAAGGGCCCCCAAGCACGGCCCAGGACCCGCCGCCACTGCTGGCCCTCCGTGTTGACATGCCGTGCTTGCCTCTGCTCCCCGAGCGGCGATGTTCACTCAGGTGTTTCCCACCTGTGTCTCTGCCAAGAAGCCACAGAACACTCTCTGCACAAAAGGACTGTTTGCACAAAGGAAAAACATCCCTTCGGGGGTTCTTTAGAAACGCTTGATACTCAATTAGCTAGAACTTCATGCGAAATCCCAGCGTGGAAGGCAACAAGCCGGCACCGGTGAGAACTTTGGAGCTGAACTTGGCGTGCACCTGCCCTCTACCAATCCGCCAGCCCCACCGACCCTGTGGTCCTGGGCGGGCAAAGCTGCTCCATGATCCCCCGGGCCTGACTCTCCTCGGGGTCTCAATCTTCATGCCAGGTTTGCCAGCGTCCCCCTTTTCACCTTGCAGGTGGAGGGCCCCTGAGAACCCATCATTCTGTCAGCTTCCCCAGGTCAGTGAGCCGTGGCTTGGCCCCCTCGCATCAGCTTTTATGGGAGGCCCATTAGGAGCGGGCCAGGAGGGACAGAGGGGAGGCCAGACAAACACTGAAGAGTGGGACGGGTAGTCCAGCCCATAGAGCTCGCCAGCTTTACAGGGGAGGTCCCACAGCACTGGCTGGGAGTCCACATAGGAAAGCATCGAGTGCGGGATGAAGCCATGGACAGTGGGGACTACGGCCACAGCGTGTGCTAAGCCGAGGAAATTAGTAGGAGGTGCTCATGGCCTATTTTTTTTAAGACCAGGAACAGTGCGAGTCTCACTCTGTCACCCGGGCTGGAGTGCAGTGGCACAATTATAGCTCACTGCAGCCTGCTCCTAGGCTCAAGTGACCTCCTGTCTCAGCCTCCCAAGTACATCATAGGCTTTAAATGGACTGCTTCCACCATCCAGCCCTGCAGGTGGCCCAGGAGCCACAGCACATCTGTCCCCTGCCACCTCTTGCGTGCACACTTGGCCTCCTGACTTAGGCTCTGAAACCTGTAAAATGTGGGGTGTTGAGAAGTTGAGTCATTTGGCTTCATCGTGGTGCCATTATCTGTTGCTACTTTAACAAACCACCCAAAACAGAGCAGCATAACAGCCATTCTGTGCCCTCGGGCTCTGTGGGTTGGCAATTTGGGAGAGGCTGGGCTGAGCAGTTT